TGTCTTCAAGGAGCTAAAAGTTTAGTGGGAGATAAATTCTACTCTCCCACATAAACTTTTTTAGTGGGAGAGTAAATTTATCTCCCATAAGATAAATTCAGGTATCAGAAACACCACTTATAAGGAAATAATATTAATATATTTTTTAAAAACCCTACTTAAAATGTATTTTAGAAAGCACATCTTAAAACAATACTGAAGTTTGGAAAATGGATTTGAATTTCAAACACATCACAGTCTGTGTTCAAAGGTTAAAGGATACAAAAAGAATTCTACTTGTTGATGATCAGCATACATTTCTGGACATTTTACTCCCTTAGTTATTGGAAAACTTCCTTCAACTGTTCATCACCAACATGTAAGTGCAAATGAGACTTAGTTCTCCTCCCTACATGGTTATCCCTCTCCTGTTGGCCCCTCTTTCCTCCCTAAGTGGTTTCTTCCCTGGTTTTCTCCCACACAGTACCTGCCGAGGGGTTAAACATATTCTAAAGGGGTTAAACATATTCTAAGGCACACTCTTTTTTCACACTACTATTCCTTTGAAACAGGAAAGGAAAAAAAGGTGGGTGGACAAAGTCTCCCGGAATACAACCCTAACCATTAAGTCTTGATTTACAAAGTGCAGGGGCAAACAGGAGTAATCATTCTGTTAATTCAGGCTGAAAACCTACTTTCACCTGTAACACAACTAGTAAGAGCAAAGGTCCTTTCTTGGTCTGAATCACACACTTCAATGTGAAGTAGTAATTCCCCACTGATAAACCTTTATTACAAACACAGAATAACTGACCAGATGAGAAAAGCAATGCATAATGTTTTAGTCATCTGCACAGAATATACTCCAAAAATACAGTTGGGGTAGAATAAACAGGCATTACCTTAGAACAAGTAATGAATGGATCATTATGAAAACCCTTTAAAAAAGAATTCAGGCCCTGACTGCTGTAGGTCAGTGGACTGAGAGCGGGCCTCAGAGCCCGATGATCACGGTTCGATTCCCAGTCAGGGCGCATGCCTGGGTTGCAGGCATTTCCCAGCAGGGGATGCACTAGAGGCAACCATACATTGTTATTTCTCTCCTTTCCTTCCCTTCCCCTCTAAAGGTAAATAAATAAGTCTTTAAAAAAAAAAAAAGAATTCACATAGGGAGGGAAAAAGCTTAGCATATACACTCATAGGAAAGTCTCAGCTTGAAAAATAACCGTGTATGGTAATATGTTTAAGTATGCCATTCATACTTAGAGTAGCAAGAATTACAAAAACTATAAAATTCAATATTGGCAGATTGTGTGGACACACTGCACTTCACATTTTAAAATGGTTCAGTGTTTCTGGAGATAAATTTGGCAACGTGCATGTCGCCAAAAATGATCACACTCTTCAATGGCCACACAGCACTTTGGGGAAGATATTCCATAATAAAAATAAAACCACCACTACCTAGAGGTAAAAAAATGTGCTTATGTTATAGTCTGCAAATAAAACACGGCAAATCCCTCACAGATCTGACCTGAGGAGGTTAATGCATTCAGAATGAGGTAGATACATATAAAAGGACTTATGAAGTAATAAAGCATACAAAATTATTACAAGTTGGGAGAGGCCATGGAAGTAATCAATAGCTGGTAATAGTGAATTCTGCGTTTTATATTACAAGCTGGTCTTGATTTTGGTGCCTATTTTTTTGCTAGATGGTATTAGAACTCTGTAAACATTTTCGGGGTGGTGGGGGTGGTGGAAATTAGAACTAGGCTAATTTCTCAACTCCAAATTCCTACCAAGTTTTAGGCAATTTGCCTACCACAGCTGTGAATCCTTACCCCCCATTCCAGCCCCGCAGATGAAAACTGGCAGTGATGTGAGGACACTGATAACTCCTCTTCATGAACTGGTACCTCAAGCAACTATGAAGCAACTGGCGGCGTGTGGGAATGTCCTCTCTGCCACCACTTCGCAGTCAGCCAACTTGAGTAGGACTGATGGGCAGAGGGAACGTTCCATCACCCCAACACACATTTCCTTGGTTTCACTTACGTCTTTTCATGGGGTGAGAGAAGTAGCTCCAAACCCTCCAGAGTGAGAATGTCCCCACCCAGAAAAGAGAAGTGGGAACTTAAATATTTTGGAAGTCTTTAAAAAAGATCTTTGGGCTTTTCGCCCTACCACTAAGCATCAGAGTGAGCCATGGTCCATTTCTTGCCACTTTCAGACTCCAAATCAGTCACAAGGAGTCACTGGATAGCCAAGTGACAAACAGGTGTCAACAACCCTAGAACACACACCGTTCTGGTTGCTCATCACCAAATCAGTCAATTCTTGGGCTCCTACACTGCTTTTTCCTTTAGGTCCATATCTACATTCACCACCATTGTTGAAAAACTTCAGATACAGGTCTGCAAATAACAGGCTTAGGAATGAACTTGGCTATTGGAGCTGTAGAAAACAAGATCAATAAAGCTGATAGCATGTGGTTTACTGGCCACAGAACTACCTAGGAGAGAAAGGAAAAGGAGGAAAAAGCCAAACACTTAAACAGGAGAAATTTCTTTCACTTTACTTGACATCTAAAGTTAAAGCACTTTAATTACCTAAATCTTTACATTAAGTTCAAATTTATATTTTATAAGCTATTCTGAAATCTGCCCTGTTTAATAATCTGTAACATCAAAAAAGCATTTTCAAGTGTCTCTCATAATTAAACCCATCCATAACCTTGTATAAATCAAAATTTTGCTACCGTATCAAAATGTTACACTGGGGCTGTGTAACACTGCCCACATCCTCATTACATGCAACACTAATTACTACCAGCAGATTCAGAATTTTCTGCACATTAGAGGCTTTTAGAGGAGCTATAAAAAATTTCAGGCACCATTAATTTAAATTTGTATTGAAATTTCCTTTTGACAGATGGCCAAAAATTACTTATTATTTAGAGTACCAGAGCTGCCTGTTTGCACATTAGAAGAGGAAAGGGAAAAATTAAAAGCAAGAAGGAAATTTATGTCACATTCATTACCTGTTAAATGTTAAGGAGCATTATCCTGCATGAATAAATTATTTCACACAAGCCTGACTCCAACTGCAGGCAACGGGCACACTCGGGCTGATAAAAACCATCTCAAGTCACACGGCGCACAATCATAAAAAGCCCCTCTTAACAGGAACCACTTACTGGAAGATGAGGCCGATCGATGGAACAAGCAACTAACTGCTTCTTTGAGCACCACAGAACACGGCTACAAAAATTAGCAAACTATTTCACCTTTCAAAGCTGCAGGACAGCCCCAGACGTGACACAACTTCAAATTTGAGAACGGACACCCCCCCAAAATCTATTTACATGGTAGCGAGCATTCCATAATAAGTCAAAGCAAAACCACCCACCTCTATTTCCTTTTTGTTTTCCCCCTGGCTTCTAGCTATATAGACAGTCACTCCCAGACTCATACTGAATGATTATAGATGATTTCAAAATACACCCTACTCTGGCATGAGGGAATATAAAATGTAATTGACACAAAAGTGTGCACCGAAGTGCAAATATTTCCACGGTCTTCTGGAATTGGGGTGGGAGAGGAGGCTTTTGTTTAGTTCACTGGCCTGCCTAGAGGTATGCATTTCTCATAAGAGGGCAGGGAATGTTTATATTATGGCCTCAGAATAACTAGACAGGATTTCCAATGGCTGCTATCTGCTAATCCTGGTCAATGCATTTACTTACTACTTCCTGAGTACACAAGGGAGGAACACTTACTACACTCTAAGAATACTTTTTAATCTAGGCATTGATATGTATATTAAACAACAAAATACACAACTGTAAATGCATAATTAAATAATTCAATGTGTGCAGTTCCAATTGTAAATGTTGACATTTCTATGGGCATGCAGATGCCCTTTCAAATTACAAAGAATCTTGAAGGGTAAAACAGATTAATTATTATTTTCCACTATATTAAGAGCTCTGGAAAAAACCGTACTTCCCTTTTATTGTAAAAGGGCAGAAATAAAGAGGTATTCAAAGTGACAGCACAGGTGAATCCAAGGGAAGATTTCAGTCTTTGTGTGAATTAATGTCATTAAAAACTGCAAGAGATCTGATTGCTTATGGTCCAAAACATTCAACTGTAGAATACATAAGGAACTGATAGCATCTGTACTTCAATCGACACCTAAGAACTGCCCTTTCCTTCCTAATCTACACAAAATACAACATACAATATAATTATGCATTACCAGTAGCGTATTTACATTGAGCCTGGCTCAAAAGTGATCAAGCAATTTCCATATTTTACTCACTTCCTGCCATGGTAGCCTGTTTTTCTTATTTGCTTACTACGGTATATAAATTCAGACATCCCTAGCATATCCCATATTCTGGTGTTACACAAGCATATCCAAATCATCAGGCCCTAAATACTTTTCCTCTTTCCTGAAAACTTGCCTGTAAAGAGATACAGAAGGCAGATAAGACAGATGCAAAACTCAAAGAGAATAACTTGCTATACTGGAAGCCAAAATGTTATTGAATTTAAAAAAGTTCTCTCTGGTGAAGAAAAATGCTTTTAAACAAATGTTTTGATAAAGAGTTTTGTAGGATGAAATTGTTTTTCTAAAATATGAGACTCATGTGTATTTCCTTATAAGCCAATTTATTATTTACTTCTTTTCCTTATTATTTATTTAGCTTATATCCAAAAAGCCTGAAGAAAAGCAATATTTTTTTTTTCACAAAGCAAGACAATAAAATGAGCAATGCAAGCCAGATCATATAATTCAATCTGGGTCTACAAATCTAATTCTGATAGAGAAATAGAACCAATATTTTCAAAAATCTCAACCACACAACTGAAGTATTCCAAAAATGCAGTTAACCACTGTTTGGTAAGGCCTACCAAATCACTCTCTAAATCTCAAAGAATTCACTACTAGATATACTCAGATCACTCTGAGCCCCTTTAAGCCATCCCTTCACCTGTGAATTTGAGGCCTACCTTGATGGAGTCTCTGTCTACAGGCAAAACAGCACCAACACATGCAGATCAAGTGGTGGGAAGAAGGAAAAAAGAAAAGTTCTGGTTAGTTTACATACAATCATACATTTATCAAATTTGATCCCTGCTAAATAATAAATGGCACAGATGTCGAATTTGCTGTAAAGTTAATTATTAATACTACTCAAGCAGATTCACAAAGTGCCAATCTACCTTTAACACAATTTCAGTAACCAAAGGTGAATATTCCTATTATTCATACTCCTTATCAACTTTCCCACTTATAAAAGTATTTGTAATTACGCCTTAGCTCTGAACCATCGCATTAAGATAACTGGATGACAAATATTACAGTGCTTCCAACATCAGAGATGGGAAATTTATTTTATGTGATAAATATCATTTACCCAGGATTATAATTCACAGTAATGACACTGCAACAGGAGTAGATAAGAAGGTTTAATCATGAGTCACACCCTTCCAACCAATGAACCACCCATGTGCTAATAAGTAAGTTTCCATAAAGGAATGCTGGGAGAGGGCTTTTCATTTGCTTTTCTGCCATTAACTAACACAAATTATTATTAAGCGCCATACGAACATACAGTCACGTAAAAATGTCTCTATACCATCATCTACTTTAGTGAAGAAAGGAAACCAACCTAGAAGGAGCAGTACTGGTCTTTGTATCAATTATACTACACAAACAATTGTGTTCTAAAATTGAGTTCATTTCATGCTTCTAATAAGACTGGATGAGAAAGGTAATTAAACCAACAGGTTTTACTCATGTGGGCTGTGTTTTCCCAATTACTAAGACTACTAAAATTGTTTTTCTTACCTGTGAGATTTTTAATGCACTATATAGGCTGATATGATTTATAAATTATAATTACTGATTCTGTCAAACTATAAGGTGAGCCTTTATCTCCAAGTCTCTCCCAAAAATACATTTGGTCAAAATTAGCTATTAATGACAGACACTATTTCAAGCACAAAGCATCGTGGGATTTCATTACCAGTTTAGACTCAGGGAACATAGTACGTAGTAGCAAGGGAGGGATCAAAGATATTAACCAAAAAACAGAACCCCTTGTTTTTAAGGAATGCATTAACTCTTGCCAACCAGTAGGATCTCATTTGGCAAAAGACTGCTTCTAATAATTAATTTACCTTCCAGCAGAAATCCTTTGTTTAGTCCATGGGAAATTAAATCCAGAGAGAGAGAGAGAGACAGAATGAAAACAGTGGCATCCAGAACCTACCCTCAGCAGCAGGTAGGTAATATCAGGTTGACCTCCCAAGAGAATGGCTCACCTCTTTGGTGATCATTGTCATGGTGCTTCTTCTCATCTTTGATTGGAAGGTGGGACTGGCCTCCCAGGGCACTGGAGAGGGCCAGAAGGCCAGCACTGCTACCGATGGGTGGAATGGCAGGGGGCTGAAGCCCAGAAGGGTGTGGGGTCAGAGGCACAGGCAGACCATGTCCATGTGATAAATGCTGGGCCTGGAGTTGTTGCTGCTGTGAGAAATGAGACAAAGATATTGAACTTGTTCCCTATATTTGCATCACCCCCCACCCAAAAAAAAGAAAGAAGAGATGTACAATAAAATCATGGAAAACCCAGCACCCATGAAGGACTGATTAAATAAATAAATATTTAAAGGGGAGGGAAGGAGGAAGATGCTTAATGAAGAAATGCTGTCTTTTTGACTTAGACTTGGGGGTTTTGCAATTGTCTAAGTAACTTTTAATAGCTGAAATTCAGATTTCTTTAATAAAGCACCTGTATTTTATTCTCCAAAACATATCATGCATTTCTAATCAAAACATATATGTGACTAACTGTTAAAGCAGTTATGTTGAACAAAAAAAGCTGAAAATTGAGAAAATTAGTGTAAAACAGTTCTCCCAGAACCACTGCACAGCATGCAGCAGGAGTTAATTTGAAAGAGAAAACCTGAATTAACAACCCAGAAAAGGAAACTGGTTGCAGCCACCGTTTTAAGCCCCTTTAAGTGTCCTCAGCGGTACTTGAGCAAATTACTAAAGAAAATCTAATGTAGCAAGGCTTGGGTCCTCCTGTAGGCTTGCTCAATAATGCTGAAATAATTGGGCACTCTGTGCACGTTTAGTGATGCTCGAATGAAAAGCTAGAGGCCTGCCCTTGTACACTTCTCCAGCAGCCGCCTCTATGTTGTGACAGGTTTATCTGAGTGGGACTGTGATGCATGCACCAGTAACTGTTCTGACAAGAGTTTAAAGTCATTTTTACCAGCACACTGCCGACACATGGAGAAAGCCCTCAAGAGGCTGGAATGGGAGTGCTTGACCTCAGCAGAGGCCGCCTCAAGATTGAGGCTGCATCAGGCTTGGCTGTGGGCAGCCCTGCTGCCTCTTCGAGTGGAAGGGGGTAAGGGGGAGGTGACAGGCGGGTGCTGAGTTAACACATCCCTCAACAGAAATCCCTTCAACTCAGACTCTCTCTGCTTAACAACATTCTATGAGAATAAGTGCTGAGAAACTCTAACTTCTGCAGCGATCACATTTAAATTAATGCCTTTAAGTAAATTACTTGTCACGCTCATACTCTGATAGCCTAATAGTCTCTTTTCTAATTTTCTAAACACGATTTCATAAAGCAGCTTATTGACAAATGTGTGGGGTGGCAAATACTGCTCCCCTTCACTGTTAAGGAGGATCCTGAAATGCTTTTAAAGAAGGTACTTCAAAGGAAAAAGTGAACATTTTCCCCTCCCCACATTACTTTTATTTCCTTCCTCTTCCCCTCTACATGTCTTCCTGTGTCAGACTATAAAAGTCAAATCACAGCACTAATGACTAGCTCTTTTCTCCGACTGACCTGCACCTATTTTCTGGCTACATGCACTTAGGATATTGTAATAAAGCACTAGCACTTTCAAGGCAAGCCGACATACATAAACTGGAAAAATCAGTGCAATGACCCAGACATTCCACCCAGCAATGTCCAAGCCCAAGTCCTGCAACAGCATTACCTAAGTGCCTGCTACAGAATCATTACTTCTTCATTTGTGTGGTCCATAACTCTGCATGCACTGTTACGGAGTTATGACCAAGGACTATGAGCACACAGTCACATTTTCTAAATGTGTTGAAAATAATGTCTATGAAGAAAACAAGGCCTTCGGGTAAATATATGGCAAATTTATTTCAAGGCCCTATTCAACTGAAATTGTGGGAGAATTGCCCCAATTCTTCCTCCTCTGAATCCCCCAACTTTGTGTGTACAGGTCAGGCACGTGGCTGCTTTCTACCTCAGATCAGAGTTCAGTTGGCAAGCACCTGCTAAGAGCTTGCATGTATGTCTCTCTCTCTCCTATCACCTTTCCTGGACTCCAAAGCTCTGTGAAAATCCACATCTGACACAAACCCTAGTAAACTAAGAGGCACCGAGACGTTCACACAACTGAGCAATTTAAAAATGACTATTTCTTCAGACATTAAAAAAACCCCTCAGCCAAAAGCAATACCTTCAGAGATTCAGGTGCTTCATTTTTTCATTCATTCATTCATTCATTCATTCATTCATTCATTCATTCATTTAAAAAGCACCAATAGCCCCATTTTTCCATCTACCAGGAAATTTTCAAAGGCAGAAAATATACCCCTGGTCTGTCTGTTGCACATTCCATTCATAGTGGAGATTTCCTGGGATCTTCACTGGTGTTTGACTCTGCCTCAGAACAGCTGTTGCACTACCCACCTGCCTCCTCCCCTGTGCCTTAGGAGAAGAAGGCCTCCGTTCCCTCCAAGGTGTCTCCTTCCTTACCTGCAAAAGCAGTGTCATCTTTTCTCTCTTGTTTTTATTGCTGCACGGGTTTCTGCATCTGCCTCCCAACCCCAATCTTCAGTTGTTCTGTCACTGATTTTGTCCTTCTATTTGCAAGTTTAATTCCAGGGTCTCCAATGTTCTGCTTAAGATGAACTGCCTATCTAATGCCAAGAGAACTGGAGGTAGCATTTTTTCAGGAGGGAAAAACACTATATTTTAATCACATTTTGTGTCCTCCACTGCCCCTAACACAGTGCCTTGCACATTAATTGGCACGGGATAAATGCTTTTCAATTTAATTAAAATAACCTTCTTTTGCCCTCTTTGCTGCCCTGTATACATATCCTTGTCTTTGCACAAACTCTTTCTAAAAGTAGATTTGCTGCCTCCACTTCTTAACAACTCCCTTTTATGTATGTGTGTGTGTGTGTGCGCGCACACACACACACACACACACACACACACACACACACACATATCCTCACTCTCCCATTCCTGTAATGCCAGGCCCACCATTCTCCTAAAACGGATTAACCATTCGGACAGCAAATACTTCAACATTTCGGTCGTCCTCTCTGACAACCCTGCAGTCACAGACAGCATGCCCTCCTGCAGAAACTCGCCTCCCATTGCTTCAGGAACACTGTCATCATGGAGGCCACTCTTTCCTCTCTGACTGTGTCCATTAAATTTCTTTCTTGGCTTTTTCTCCTGCTCGCCAATGAGGACGGGCCCTAACCCTCTTGCTCCTCTCCCATGCTCTTAACTTCTTGCCAGCCAGTTCTAACTGGAAGTCCTGCTTTTCCTGAAAATGGAAATGTTTAACACAAATCCCCTAAGTTACTTCCACCGGGTCAAGATGCCAATTAGTCACCATCGACTCGTTTTTCTTCTGTGATCCTGTATCCATAATCACCAGCTCCTGTCAGTTCTCAATTCCTTTTATTTCTACTGCCACCATCTAGTCAGACCCTTATGACCCCACACTTAGATCACAAGTCTCCATTAGCTCATTTAGTTCCAATGAACCCATTCTGCATCACCACGGGTAATTTGTTTTTCAAAATTCATGCTATTGCCTGCCCTTTAGAACAACCTCTCCATTACTTCCCTAAATTAAATTGTACTCTCACCGGTCCCAGCTCAGCTCATGTTTCACCTGTTCTGCGAAGACTTCCCCAAACATCCCAAGTGTCTGCTGCCTTACAGGACTCTGTATCATTCACTGGCACAGAGTGGCTTGTAAAGGTCCAGTTATTCACCTTTTTATGAAGAAGACCTGACTTGCTAATGAGACTGTAAGACTCAGGAATAAAGAGACCAGCCTCAGGCCCCACTGAACTCTGACTGCTAGAGCGTACGGTTTAGTCATATAGAATCTGTATTTAACAGAATCTGCACTCGATGAATTAAATTTCTACTAAATATGAAGAAAGTTCCTATATAGCCTTTACTCAACTTCCACTAATGTTATTATCTTACATAACCATAGATTTTATCAAACTTAAAAAATTAACTTAAGAACATTACTATTAATCAAATTATAGGTTTTGTTCAGATTTCCATAGGTTGTCCACTGCTGTCATGTTCTAGGACGCCATATTACATTTAGAGAGCTTCTAACTTTTCACTTATCATACCAAAATTACAAAATCCTTTCCAAGATTTTATGAATGGCAACATCCACATTGTAGTCAACTGTTTAACAGAAACTTCCCTGAATTTAGGTGAGAAAAAAAATGAGAGCAGGCTATCATAAACCATTTTACAAATCATCCATTACACATACAAAATATCAAACAACAAAAAAAGTACTCAGTCGGGAGTCCCATAGAAAGGAGCAATTTTATCATATAAAACTGTAAGATTAAATAAAATGTATATGACGTAAATATAAGACAGATATAGTAAAACACTAGAGTAGGCTTTAAAATGTTTACATCAATAAAACATACCACTTTCTGTATCTAATGGTCATATTTAAGCTTTTTTGTAAGATTTTTGCCTTAGAAACTACCTTAGCGGCATATGCACTTATAATTAATAATGACTCCAAATTAGTCAATAAAACCGTTTTTCAAAATTCATGTCATCCTCATAGAGGAGACAATTTTAAAATAAAAACATGAATGTCACCAACAACTACACTGCACTCCATTCACCCTTTTCTCTATTATAAAAGCGGATTTATCAAATTTCAAAAAACATCCAAGAATTCAATATAAAAAAATCTCTATCAAGTCTTCCCACCAACAGAACAACTCAAAGCAGACTCCCTGGAACAGGAGTCAGATCTGTGGATGCTGTTCAGGGAACTGAGAGTAGCATCACCCTGCAGACTGTCCTACAACACTGGAAAAGCTGGCTTTTTTCAAGAGCTTTAATGGTGTCCTCTGATTTCTGCCCCAACTGTGTCAATTACAGAGCAATTACCCTGCCAAGGTTGACTACTTTAACCTACGGTCACACTAGGAAACATAAAGATGAAACACAAAGACGAAAGAAATGTGTAAGAGTACACAGTCTGACACTTATTTGTTACCACCACTGGATCAGCAATTTTCAACCGTGTGCCTCAGGAATTTTTAAAACATGCAAAACTGACGATTTAGTCACGGGCGCTGACCTTTTTTTCCCCTTAGGCTGTGAACAAAAAAATGACAACAGCCAACGTAACAGTAGCCATCAGTGTGAATGAATCAAAATT